ATTTTTTTTTTTGATTCAATTATTATTTTCAAGAATTTTAAATTATTTTTTATGAAATAAATAAATAATTAATAAAATTAAAATAAAAATTAATAATTAAATAATTGAATTTCTGCGATTATTTGTAATTTCTCCAAAATTGCATTTTTTTAGTGTTTTCAACAAAAATTTAAATTAGAAAATTAAATTCCTATGAAATTTTTATTATTTATGAAAATAATTGAATACCTGTGAAATTTTTATTATTTATGAAAATAATTAAATGTTTGCATACAATTTTATTAAAATTTTTTTTAAATAATTGAATTCTTTATGGAAGATTTTATTAAAATAGTAGATATTGAAAATAATTGAAATTATAAAAATTTTTGAAAATAATTGAAAGTAGGACAAGAATTTTTTTGACATTTATGAAAATAATTGAACTTTGGAGAAGAATTTTGTTATTTATAAAGATAATTGGGATTTTTACGAGAATTTTTTAAAATTTTAAACATATTTAAAGTTTATAAGAAGAATTAAAAATTTTTTTTTTAAATAATTGAATTTCTGCGATTATTTGTAATTTCTCCAAAATTGCATTTTTTTAGTGTTGTCAACAAAAATTTAAATTAGAAAATTTTTAAATTCTATTATTTTTAAAATTGCTAATATCAGTTATAATATTAGTGCGTTAAAGGATATTTGAGAAAAGACTTTAAAATTCTTGTAAAACTTTAAGTAGTAATTTTTAGTCAGGCAAAAGCTTGAGTTAAATCCTATATGATTGCAAGTAGTAAAGGTCAATTTTAGACAGACAGAGATTATAAGCTTTGGATTATTTTGGAATCAGTGGTAAAAGTCAATTTTATTGCGACAGTAGTAAAAGTGGATTTCCGGCAGGCGGAACATTATCGAAGTTTGTAAAATATTTTTTTAGTAGGTAAAGATATTTACAGCCAGACATTACTTTCAAAAAATACTTAATTTTTGTTAATAGCGAAGGAATACATTTTCAGGCAGTCAATGTTCAAATGTCAGACGTAGAAATTTTGAATTAGTACCTAGTATAAGTCAGTTAATAATAGGAATTCTATTAGAATGAAAATTTTCCAGTTTTGTAAGTTTCTAACCAGTAATAGCTGTAAATTTTAGTGTTTTATAAAATTATTTTTTTTCTAGTAGAAAAGAATTTCTTTTTAGACTTTTAAATTACTGTAAATTTGTTATTAGTAACAAGTGTCAGTTTAATCAATAATTAGTCAGAAATGATTAGTCAGTCAGAAATTTTTAGTCATAGAGGGTCATGTAAATAATATATCAGTAGTAAAAGTCAGTTATTGTCAGACTCTGCATGTTTATTATACATTTACTATATTTATTATATATTTATATTAGTGGTGAAAAAAAAACAAAGTGTCAGTAGTAAAAGATAATTTTAATCAGACAAGTTTTATTTTATTAAATTATAGTATCAGTAGTAGAAGAAAATTTTAACCAGACAAGTTATATTTTATTAAACTATTAGTGTCAGCAGTAAATGGAAATTTTAATCAGATAAGTTTTATTTAAATAAATTATTAATATCTCAGTATCAGATGACATTTTTAAGCAGACACATTTTTTTGCAAAATTTGATATTAGTAGGGAAAGAGCTTTTAGATTTTAATCAGCCAATTAAAATTCTCGTAATTTTTGTCTATTAGTAGAAAAAGTAAATTCTATCCAGACAAAATTTGTCAAAGAAAACCAAAGAAAGTTAAAGCAAGTCAAAGTCTTAGTCAAAGTCTTAGTCAAAGCCTTAGTCAAAGTCAAAAACTTAATCATAGTCTTAATCAAAGTCTTAGTCAAAGTCTTAGTCAAAAACTTAATCAAAGTCTTAGTCAAAGCCTTAGTCAAAGTCAAAAACTTAATCATAGTCTTAGTCAAAGTCTTAGTCAAAGTCTTAGTCAAAGTCTTAGTCTAATACTCAGTTTAAGTCTTAGACTTAGTCTCTGACTATGACTTTGACTTAGTCTTTGACTAAGACTTTGACTAAGACTTTAAATACGACTTCGAATAAGACTTTGAATAAGACTTTGACTAAGAATTTGACTGAACTAAGACTTAGACTCACTTTCACTATAGTTAATGTTAGACTTAGATAATTATAATATAAAATCAGTAGAAAAAGATATTTATGGTGAGACGCATAATACATCCAATTTTGTCTTAAATTCATCCAGTCTTAAATTTTTTATCACTCAATTTTTCTCTTTTTGCTTTAGTACGCGATAAGATCGAAATAATATAAATTTTTTTCCAGCTGGAATATAATTAAGACGTCCATATACATACATACATAATGAATTAGAATCAGATTTCAGTGAATCAACCAAGAGTATAAAATAAAATGCGACACGACCATGGCACCATTAGGTTATATCCGATGTCATAACAAGGAATCGTCTGTCGCGTCTAATTCCCTGAAATTTATCGAACCGTTAATTCATACGATCATCAGGAATGGTTCATCATCGTCAAACGATTGAGAAAGATCACGATTCGGTTTAAAGATGCTGGCAAAAGAACGGATACTTGGCGAGAATCGATCCGGTTGTCATTTCCTTGAACGCCTATTGAGTGTTAGTAAATATATTGTATATATACTAACACCATACAAATATAGAAATATATATTTTTGTATCTCCGTCTGTGTTTCTGCTTCTGATGTTGGAAATTGCACGAGTTAAGTCGAAAGAGTCTTTGACTTATGATTGCGACCATTACTTGAACAAACGAGGCTAAAGCGTGTCGAGACATGAAACGTGAATTGTTCGCGTCCTTCGCGATGAATTGTTTTTCTATTATAAACCACTAGAATATTATACTAGAGAGCCAACTATATTCTGTGAGTAGTCGTCTTTTTGCCTCGCGATTATCACCTGTCAGTTTTAGGATCTACTCTTCGTTTATGTTATTATCGTCGTTATTCTTCATCTTTATAGGCTTTGTTCTTATTACTATATAACAATTTTCTTAAAGTTCAACTCTTCATATATATATGTATTTATGGATGAAAAAAAACTAAGCGCTTTTAAACTTTTCTCAGTTACTTTAGCTCTTATATACTTCCAACTGCTGTACGTTTGAATTATGTAAAGATAAAATTTGTTATGCAAAGTGTAGAATATTTTCTCGAAACTTAATTCAGTGACTTTTCTAACGAGTCGTAATCATAGCCTGCGGCTTACTCATTCAAAAATTGTTTATTATAGTTTTTTTTTTTTAATGATAATTATTATTATTTTTCTTGTTCGATTATCTTTGTTAAATATGTGGTGTAAAATTATTGTAAATTATACCTTTTAAATGTTATTTTTGCTTTTTATTTTTCTATTCACACTTGTTTTTATTCATGAATTATGATTATTATTTTTTTTTTTTGCTTTAAGTTTAAAATATAATCATTTTAAAACTGGTTGTTAGTGAATTAAAATTATTGTTATTTACATTTTTCAATTTGTTTTTAGGTACGTGCATTATAAAATTATGATAATGAGTGAAAAATTCTTTGCTAATTTGAATTTGTAGAGGTTTCTTTTTATTTAATAATTATGAGTGGAAAATAAAGTGAGAACGTGGATTGTAAAATTTAGAATTCAGATTGTAAACGATGCGCAATGTATTTTTAACGATTATAAGTGTTATAATTTAGATTGTCATGTTTACAATATACATATTGTGAGTAGTACAATTGAGATAGTAAAATTTACAATACTAATTGTAAGCAATACAATTTATATTGTAGTCTATGAAATACACATTTAAAATATTACAATTTATTTTGTGAACACTGCAATTTATATTGTAAACACTACAAATGAAATTGAGAACTTTATTTATCACATTGTAAATCCAGATTTTAAGGTCTACAATTATCACTGTAAATTTTACAATACAAACTAAGTATTACAAATTAGATTGCAATCTATATAATAAAAATAATAAGTACTACGATTCAAATTGTGCACTTTACAATTAATATTGTAAATTCTATAATCCAGATTTAAACTTTACAATTTGTATTATAAACTCTACAATACAGATGAGAACCTGTTCATTTTAAATTGTAAACTTTATATTACATTGCAAATATTAAAATTTACCAGCAAAAATTCGCGCGGCTAACTTCTTATATAATTTTTTACAAAAATTAGCAATTTTAAAAATAAAAGAATTTAGAAATTTTTAATTCAAAATTTTCTCATAAAAATAAAATATGAATTGGAATATAGTTTTAATACTATTACAACTATAATAATTATATATTCCGAGACAGGGAATTCAGGGAAAAGTCAGACATTTTTATTAAAAGTATTGGAAAAAATTTAATTTTTAGAATTCATAAGAAAATTTTGAAGTTTAGTGTCTTTTTTGTTTTACTCATAAACTATGAAATCATCACGAATTTCAATACAAAACCTTCAATTTTTTTTAAATTGTAAATACTACAATTTAAATTGCAAACTTTGCAATACAATTTAGATACAAAATACTATAATGTAAATTGTAAACTTTACAATACAATTTTGATTGTACAATTTTTATTGTAAATACGACATTTTAAATTGAAACTTTAAAATTTACATTGAAAACCCTACAATACAGATGGTAATCATTACGATTTAGTTTGTAAACTTTACAATACTTATTGTAAGTATTAAAATTTATATTGTAAATCTTACAATTTCATTCTATCAAGTGAATTAAAAAGATTGCAATTCAAACAGTAAATTTTATGATTTATTTTCTTATAACTTCAACTTATATGGTAAATTTTGTAATACAGTTTGTAAATTTTACAATCCAAAAAGGTAAAAAAAATACTAAATGGATTCTAATCATTACAAATCTATATTGAAAGCATTTTTATTAACTAAAGAATTTGTAAGGATGTAAAGTTCGTTCAAAAAGCTCACGTTATTTCAGTGTCAATTCGTCAACTCGTGCATAAATTTGTATACGGCCTGGTTACTTACTTCGTCCTGTGAACAAAAAAGAAAATACATTTATTAGAATAAAGATTAAAACAAAAAATTTATCATAGTTTTCAAACCAATTATTTTTATAATTATTATTTTAATTCTTAGAATAAATTTTAATTATAATGACACAGTTTTTCTGAAGATATCAAATTGAGACAAAAAACGAATCAAAATGTTGCTTCGCAACACTTTCGATTCGTTTTTGTCTCAATTTGATATTCTGAAAAAAACTGTGGACTAATTTCTTAGACATAAATGATAATAGTAATTATTAATAATAATAATAATAATAAAAATATTAACTAGTAATTACCTATATTATATTATTAGGAATTATAATATATTATTGCAAATTACATTTGCAATTGATAATTGTACTATATTATTACTAATTGTTTATATTGTTAGAAATAAATAATATTTATTAATAATTACAATTTAAAGATTGTAATTATAATAATTTTCTAATTAGGTACCATTTAACTTTTGGCTTTTCAAATTTAGTTTATAATTTTATGTTTTTAAGGGTTTTAGTTATATGACCCATATATGACAGAAATAAATAAATAATAATTTAATTATAATAATGTAATAAGGCGATAATACTTAATTATATAATAAGACTAATAAATTATTAGTTATTATTATACTGAATATAATCACAGTAAAATCTGTCATTATTAATGTCATTTTTTTATATTAAATTACAGAAATTAAAAATTGATTTTTAAAAAGGACAGAGTTAAAAATGGAAAATTAAAACTTGGAAAAGAATATTTTAAAAGTTAAAACTTGTTATTTTTTTTGCATAAAATATGAATTAGGTCAATAAAGAAAAGTTTAAGGGGATTTTTCTTTCGATTTAATTTATTGACAAGTGAAGTTTAAGGGGATTGATGTCAAGTTTTGGCGAAAGAAAAAAAAAAGGAATGTAACTGTAAGAGGCATATTTAAAGAGTCATTAAATCTGAAAATGGATTTTTCGAAATGACATGTGGCGCTTGTGCAAAATATTCTCTCGCCGGCATAGGTAGAAACTTGTGAGTAATGACCCTTGATTGGTCACTCGTCGATCGTTACTTGAGAGTACGTGACTGCACTTACGTTTCCACGGGTCGTTAACTCGTTTCCATTAAGGCGCGGCCTCAAATCCTTATCCCTCTATTTTTCCCTTTGTTTTCTTTTACTTTCTTTATAATACATCTTTAAATTTTCGCCTTTTAAATGCGAGAGAAAAACCCATCTTTTAAAACGAAAGTTTTCACTTGTCTGCGCATTAGCGTCCTTTTCTACTTTTCTTATTTTTTTTTTTACTTTTTTCCCTTTTTCTACTTTTCTAGTTTTTTCTATTTCTTTTTCTATTACGAAATTTTTACTTCATAGTATTTAGAATTATTTTTAATTTTCTTTTTCCTTTTCTTCTTCAAAATTAAAATATATAGAAGTTGTTAATTTAATTACAAGTTTGAAGAAAAAAATCATAATTGCAAAAGTTTTTTATGAAGAGCAATATAAATACTTCGATTTAGTCGCAAAATATATATTCTGATCTAGAGTCTGAATTTTGTTATTGGCTTTAAAGATTTTCACAATGTCTGACTATAAATGTCTGTCACCACTTTAAAAGTCAAGTTATTGTCATTTTAAAATGGTAATAAAAACTTTCGTCAGATATGAAATATATCCAAAGGTATTTTCGCAGAAAAATGTATTGTTTTTTTTCGTAAAATAAAAAAAAATTGCCGACATCTCTGACTATTAACGATCGTTTCCACTTATTTATTAATCTTATCACTATAAGTGGAACTATAATAAAATCGTAAATAAATTAAGCAGAAAATATTTCACAAAATTTTTAAATAACAAAATTAAAAAAAATACTACTATAATTTTAACAATAAAAAAATAATTAACAAAAATACTACAATAATTTTAACAATAAAATAATAATTAAAAAATACTTTTCCAGGTTAAATTTTTGAGTCAATTAAAAAAATTATAGATATACAATGTTATATACAAAAAAAAGGCAGAAAAAGAGAATTTCATACCGTACGTGAAATTTGAAATGGAATTATTTATACTTTAGAATGTAATTAATGGAAAACAACAACGTTAATTGGATTCTTTTTATGAACAGTAATAAATGCTCCGACTGATTGGTCGCTAAATATTTAAAACATTTTTATCGATCGTTTTTTCTTTTATATCCGGCAAAAGCCGAGAATCGAGTATGTGTATTGAACAGTATTTTAATTAAACGAAGGAATCAAGCAGGATTTCGGGACACGTATTTCGTTTAATTGCTTCTGCTGCTTTCGGCACGAGCTAATTTCGTGAATTTTCAAATAATTTTGCCTCGAAATTCTCAAATATATAATAATTATAATAATAATAATCCAGCCAGAGGCTATCGAAATGATACACGATTAATTCCACAATTACCACGATTTTATTAATGTGTGTGTATATTAAAACTAGGGATTATTAATACGTATATCGAGGAATTACGTTCTGTACACTAATTGCACAAATTAAACTATGGAGAAAAAATTAAAACTGCTTTTCAATCGAATTGGTAAAATTCTCGTTTGTACGAAATCTGTCAATCAAATATTTTTAATTCTATTTTAGAATATGGAATCGAAATTTTAATTAATTTATTTGCGGAACAAAAGAAGTGATACACAATTTGTTTAAATTTTTCCTCGTTTTTGTCTCCTTTTTCAGTTAAATAATAATTTTATCCAGTCACTGCCTTTAAAAGAAAAATATATTTCCTTAAAAAATATATTTTTAAAGTAAAAATAAATTATATAACAAAAAAAAAAATATAATCAACTTCTAATTACTTCAATTTTTTCCCTTTTCTTTTTCTTACCTTCTTATTTTACAACAATTTTCAAATAATAATTTTGTTTCTCTTTTTTTTTTTTGTAAAAAATGTCATAAAAATTTATTTTCAAAAACTATAGAATAATGGTTTATTTGTTATTAAAGTGGAAAATGAGTAAGATTGTTGAAAAAATGGACATTTATAGACAGTATTATTTGTGCACTATTATATTTAAAAGAAAAAAGGAAGAGTAATAAAAATCAAGACTAACGAGAAGAAATATATTTTTGATATTGCTAACAGTAAGGGAGGGAGAGAGAAAGAGTGACTAATTGCAGTAGCACACTGAGTCTACTTCAACAATATAGACGTACAATTAAGTCTCCTTAGTTATTACCAGCTGGACCAACAATCTTTAAAGATTTTATCTCCTTCCCACTAAAGGCTATATGTATAAGATTATAAACATTTACGAGCAAAAGAATTGGAGCAAATTTATTATTTGAGAGGAAATAAATGTTATAATATTACCGACATGTACACAACAACGATCTAATCAATTTCAAATTTTAATTGAGTCACGAGATTGGTACTTTATATTATTATTTTAATAATAACAATAACAAGAACCGTTATTGGTTTAATTCTGTATTAAATAAATAATAAAATTAAAATAATAATATTAATAATTGTGATAGTAACAATAAAGATAACAATAATAATAATAATAACAGTAATAACAAAAATATTAATGATAATAATATTAAAATTAAAAAAGAAAATAACGATAATGATAATAATTATTTTCTAAAAATTGACGTGGCAGAGTTAATCGCAATGTCTTGACCTGAACGCGCAACTTTCCCACGCTTACAAAATAAACATCGCGTTTTCAACGATATTAGGTGTTCACGCTAGAACGCACTATGTTTATTAGAGAGGAATCGTGATTTTAAAGAGAAGTTTTGTCAGAGATCACATATGTATACTATAAATATATATATACGTATATAAATAAATAATCTAGTAATCAGATCTATTCGTGAACGCACCAATAGTTACGATCACGTAAAGGCCTTTCAATTTCTTGTCTCCTATATAAATCCATAGAAAACTGTTTATGTATATATGATGTTGATCGATTTTTCGGATCAACTGGATTATCAAGTTCCTTTGGGATATTTTCATAGCGATAGATTTTCTTTGATTATATTTTTTTAATAGTAGCTTTGATTAAGTTACCGCAGAGGTAAACGTTTGATATTATGCAATATTTTAGGAGGGAGATAATAATTTTTTTTTGTATTGAAATTTAACTATTAACAATAATAATTTGAATGTTCCTTCATTCATTCACTTTTTCTGTCCCTCACACTCTGAAGTTGTCTTTTGTTTATACTCTTGTTTTTTGTTCTCTTTAGATAGATTGTATATCTTATTATTATGTTATAATTATTTTTATTTTATAATTAATTCAAAATTGTAATGACAAATAGAAATCATCAGAATTTTTTTTACATGTTTTCATTAAAAGACTAAAATTTTGTTAAATTTTATGTTTTGTCAAATTGAAATTATGCAGATTTTTGTTCTTTACTTCTAAACAAAATGAGAAAATTGTTAAACAACTGTGATTAAGAAATAGAAAATTTATTTATTTTGCATTATTTTTCTTTATGAATCACAATTTTTTTAACAAAATTATTATTTTGTTTTGGAAAAAGAAGAAAAATATTTATACAATTCCTATATTTAATCTTATTTTTGGAACAGGATTTTCCACAGGAATTAAGACATTCAAAAATTTCAAATTCAAAACTTTATTAAATTAAACAACTTATAAAAGTATTGTTATAAAACATGAAGATATTGATTGCTCCGAGTCGAAGACTCGGAGTGATCGATTTCTACATGTTTTATAATAATTAAAGATGACCGAGTGATAAAATCATTGTTTTATATTATAAAAATATTTTTACTGTAACTTCATCAAAATTATTTTCATCATTTTAATTCAATTATTATTTTCTAGAATTTTAAATTATTTTTTATGAAAATAATTGAATTCCCGTAAAATTTTTATTATTTATGAAAATAATTAAGTGTTTGCATACAATTTTATTAAAAATTTTTTTAAATAATTGAATTCTTTTTATGTGTATAT